TAGATCCGTTAAATCCTGTCGACAATTATGATTGATAGATAGGTAATCGAATTTTTGGTTTCGAAATACGCGGTCGAAGGATGCAAGATAGCAGATGACGATGACATTGAATTATTAATATTAGAATTATTATTATTATTATTATTCGTATTAGGTGAATATAAATGTATTAAACTGTTTGTATCAGTTTTATAAAAGACGGGTTCTGTTACAGAAGATGGTTGACTATTAAAGTTAGTTAGCAAAGAATGAGGACTTTGAAATTGCTGATGTGAAAATATAGTTACTGATATAGTTGAAAGTTGTTTATTGCCAAGGATAGTTATGTTCTACGATGTTATTCGTTTATACGATTGTCAAGTATTGATACATCAATAACAACAACATCTAATGGTAATGGATCAGAAATATTTAATTCAATTGGATGAGAATAATATGCATGTATTGCTAGAATTATTATCTATTGTTAATGATGAACGAAAAAGATAATTTTTAATGTTAAAAGAAGTTAAAGATGTATGTCGACGATAAAGATATGTTTCATCATGTTCAAGTGCACTTGAACCGTTAGCAGAATTTGATTGAAGTTGTTCTTCAATTATTTGATAATCAGTTTCTTGTAACCAATTACCTGAAAGGACAATCAAATAATGTCTTCGATATTTTAAATCTAATCGGAAATACAATGAAGTATTCTAGACTTTTATTCATTGTGAATTTCTTAGTGAACATCAATTCGTTAAGACCAATTGAACTTCGAAACGAAGTTTTCTATAGCTTATGATTCATTAATTATTATTTAAGTTTTACTATATTTATTAATCCTGGAGATAGCTATGAACTAGAAAATTGTCGTATATTAGAGATCTATTTCGAGTAAGAAAAATGAATGTTCACTCAAAGGAAGTGGCACTTTTCATATGTTATATCTCTCACAATTTTTCTGAAACATGATCTGAGAGAAGTATTGAAGTATATAGATAGAAATTTGAATGCATAATAGAGATCAGCGATTCCAGTCATTACTCGAAATCGAAACCGGCATGATAAGTGCAATTTCAGTTATAAAAAATTCAAAAAAAAAAGGCAGCTCCGGTTCGGTTCCGAAAATGTCGCATAGAACTAAATCCATTAAGTCATCAAACGAGTGCCAAGATTTTTGCATGTTTCCAAAGATTTGATTTTCTAGTTTTGAAATTAAAGATATCACACACTTCATTATTCAAACACGACACTATTACAAAAAAACCTATTGAACTCTTCAATCTCGGATCTTAAAGAGTTAGGATTGGTTAGCATAAATTCGAGAATTTTTGCATCTGTTGGATGATTTAACGAGGGTGTGGGGTTGGGGTGTGGGTGTGGGTGTGGGTGTGGGTGTGGGTGTGGGTGTGGGTGTGGGTGTGGGTGTGGATGTGGGTGTGGGTGTGGGTGTGGGTGTGGGTGTGGGTGT